CCGCTACGTGTACTTAGGCCGCTACGTGTACTTAGGCCGCTACGTGCACTTAGGCCGCTACGTGCACTTGGGCCGCTACGTGTTCTTAGGCCGCTACGTATACCTAGGTTGCTACGTGTACCTAGGCCGCTACGTGTACTTAGCCCGCTACGTGCACTAAGAAAGCAGAGCGAGTTTCGAAAGTTGAAAAGCCCAGAATTTGAATGAATTTATTAAAATTGAAATAAGTAATTTTAATTAATTCAGATATGCAATCATCACTTATCGGAATCTTTCAATAATGAATGATACTTGCAATACATGTACATTTGTAAACTTATTTTAATAAATTTAGATAAAACTACTCCGGGTATTGAATAATAATTATAGTATTGACTGATAGTTATAGTATATAGTAATAATTAATTTTTAGCTCAGTATAAGGCAGTAATTTAAGATAGAAAAGTTCTCATAGATCGTAGTGATGATAAATGCTATATAAAAACTCAAAGGGGTATCTGCAATAAACTTGATTCTCTACTTGTTTGTTTCAAGTTCCTTGATCTTTTTACATATTTTAAAATTAATCATTGAACTTAGCATCAAAAATCTATTTATCGTGATGGGACTGAGTTGTTGGTTCGAATATATAAATGTGGAAAATTTATTCGAAACTACTTGCAGCCATCTAAACTTCCTGCAGCATTTATTTCCGTTATTTTGTATTCGTGTATTTATTATTAAATAATTGATACTTTTAAAATCAAAAGTACTCTAAATTACTAAAAACTATTAAACAGAACTGAATACTTCAGATTGCTATGCTTGTCGCGGACGTAGCGTAGTTAGGGCTACAATCTACATATGTGTTCAGTAATTACGTACTAGTTTCAAATGAATTGTTGATGTAATATCGTTATAAATGTAAATAAATTAGAAACTGGATTCTAAAGCACTCATTTATGCACGAAATTTCATGATCTGAATGCACAATAAGTGGCCTATATAATCATTATGGAATCAAAAACGTGTCCAAACAATTCAAAACACATTAGACATTGGCCACCGGATGCCTAAAGATGACCCCAATTGCCCATCTCCACAATGAGACTGGCGTCTTCCCTCTCCGGTGTCAATCTGGCGGCTCATTATATTCATTATAATTATATTAAATGATTAGATCTCATCCTGACATCCCCGTACCTGATGGCCTGGACCTGGCTTGCGCCCAGTTCCTCGGCAGCGCCCTCCAGCCGCGCTGTCTCTGTTCCCACCGGGGCCCGTCCCGTGAAAGCCTTCTTACGTCAAGATTCAGTCTCTTCGTTGGGTCTTTCCCGGAGGACGCCATCACACCTGCCGGCGACTATGAAGAAGTTAAGCGTTCCCTACGCAGGGAGATGTGTGTGCGTAGTGCGTAATTGCCCATCCTGGTAGCGGCAACTAGCGATAGGTTCCAAGCACTTAATGCCACTGGTAGTTCCACGACCATCACTGGTTCGCTGACCCGCCAGAACCATTTTAATGCATTACACAACACCCTGGACAAGCCAGGTACTCATTTATCAACCAGAGTTGGATGAATGGCTGAGTTGAAGAGAACCTGGGAGCTGGGTGCGAGAGACAGAGAACCCGGGAGCTGGGTGCGAGAGACAGAGAACCCGGGAGCTGGGTGCGAGAGACAGAGAACCCGGGAGCTGGGTGCGAGAGATCGAGTCTCACACCACTGCACCACCACGGCTGCAACCTGTGGTTGCAAGCGATCTTCTCGCATCGCGGCGGCCGCCGAAAACAACGCTGTTCTTGCGATCCCACCCCCACCGATTGCGCCAGAATATGCCTCGCTCCCTCGCCTCTTCCGATCGGCGCTATCTCAGCTCCACTCGGGATACTGTAGTTCCCTGGCGTCCTACACTTTCAGGGTCGGACGCTCTCCCAGTGCCTCCTGCCCAGAGTGCGGGACGCCTTCCAGTCCATCCAGCATATCTTTACCTGCCCCTCCTTCCCCACCTCCCACAGGGTCTCCTAATTGTGGGACAGCTCCGTTGGGGCGACGGCGTTTCTGGCCATCCTCCCAGCCTTCGCCCATCTCCCCCCTCTTATGGTGTCCCTCCCTCGGCCTCCACCGGAGCCTTCGTGACGATGGCACAAGAAACAAGAACAAAAGCATTGGGGAATTTGGGGTTTTCAGCATTAGTAATCGAAGCAATTATAGCTGCCCTAATTTATACGTGGTGGATATGGAAGAGACTATCACAAAACAGACGATCAAATATAGAAAACAAGTGAAGCACAATATACCATACCACTGTCGTTAGTTATTTGTATATAGATGCAATTACATTACTTTTCAAATCAGAGCGAACGCACATTTAATTTCACTATTTGCAATTTAAAACATGTGTAAATGTGGAAACAATGATGATCCAAAAGGCCTCTAGGATTGAGCAAATTTATTTATTCATGGTTCTTTATTTTCATGTATTTCATCTAAATATAGACGAATGCATGTAATTCATGTATCAAAATATAGGCAACATTAAATATTTGGCGAAATTGAAATATTATCCCGCGCTGTGAACGAAAGTTCCAGAAAATTTTCAGGGTCACTATAGGCGCACTTAGAGAAATGAGTTGGTCTTTGTCCGAATTGCGATCCAACTTCCTGTTCAATTGTGGCTGTGATTCTGGCCCTGAAGAAGCACGTATTGGTGCTACTTGCCGAAAGTGTGTCACTCTAATGGAGAATTTTACCCATTGATAATCTGAGTGCAATCTTATAAAACATGGCCGAGGCCAATTTTTCTGTCGTATAAATATAAATAATTTGCTTCAACCGAATAAAGAAAAGCCTGAGGGTAATCTTTTGTACAATATCTGCAGGTGCCAATGCTATTCGTACCTAAAGTCCAGTTCAGAGTACCAGGATTGACGCACTAGAGAGGCGCGGGTTCGATCCCAGCTCTGAAGTTTCTGGTCAGAATCGGCGAGGAGGCCGGGCGGTTAAGCACAGCAGAATTGTAGCAGTGAGTTGCGAGTTCGAGACCGCAAAATGCTGTGAATCTTCTGCGATGTTAAGAATCGGCGACAGGCCTACGGCCTAATAAACGCTGAAACCGCTATTATTATTATTATTTATAATGATTGTTCTTAGTGATATCAAAACGGGTGTTGAGTGGAACGCACTCGATAATTATTATTTACATTTTATAACTGCAGTTACATTCGGGTATTTAGAGAAGTGATACATTGTTCTGAAAAATCATGATGAAAATTTCATTTGAAATTGGCGGCAGTACGGCACAAGCCAACCGAATCCACACACAAGCCATGCTGAATTCTGAAAGTGCATGGATGAAATGACTATAATAAGTAATTTGGGATTAAAAATTATGGGTAGTATATTTTTCTAATGCATTTTTTATTTTATTCTATACGTATCAAGCAATATTGTATCGGTAATAATTCTAAACTATTTTTTTGTACGTGAATAAATTAGCACACATACTAACTTGTTGAAAATTTATCCTCAAGCATCATTTGAGGATGGCAATAAACAACTTTATTATATGTTAATTATTCCAATTATTATGCCCCATTAAATCGTTTTAGATAAATTCATTGAAATTTTTTGCTCAAGACTCCATCCACTGTTCAGTGGAAACTAAATTAAAATTAATCATTTATTTTTTCTTTACTTGCACACACACACGTCTGCGAATTAGCTCGACTAAAGCTGTAAACAAAGCAGAAAATTCCGAGATCAAGTAATATTTTAATATAATTCAAGATCATCTTCCGAAATTATCATAATTTCCTTCATTGCTTGATTTGACGAAAACTAAATAAAGCTTCCTTTGTTCTCGATGAACAGCTGATACAAGATGGCGGACTGCCTCATCGGGCGAAGGTTAGTGTGCCTCTTCGATAGATTATTAACGTAATTTGTGTCGTTGAAGTTTCAAATTGTGTAAATGATGCAAGGTAAATATAGCTTTTTATATATTTCAAATATCTCATTGAATATCCCTATTGATTACAAATAGGGGTTTATTCATCATAAAATGCCCGAAGCTGTCGTCTATTTTGTGCTCAATTATAATGTACCGTGCAGGCGTGCACTACTGTCGTGCAGTGCCATAGGAACTTTTTATTATTTGTACAATTTTCAAACTTTATCACATCGTAAAGAAATTGAATTGCACGTCATACTTATTAAAGGACCGTGCGGAATGAATTAAAGTTCTCATTCACAAAGCATTCATGTGTAATGTCTCTCGCGCCGCACACCGATGCTCGCCGCTCATTGTTGCTTTTTTTTGGTGATTTTCTAGAGAATTTCCGTATATTTTAATATAAAAGCTATGCTCAGTGCCTCCAAAATAATTTTAGAGTTTAACTTATTAATATTTTATTGTAACATTGATGTTCTTGATACTTTAGGTAGCTACTCAGTTTGTGTTTGTGCGATGTGTTCATAAAGAAAGATTAGGTACCTAGTTTTTTTTTTAAAGTTTGAACTTGAGTCATGGTCTTCATTCTTAAGAAAAGTCTGGTATTAAATTGGAAAGTTACATCTTATTAGCTACTAAAATCTTGTGGTAACCAAAAACCTGCACTTTCAATGATTTATAAACATGATAATTTTCGAAACTGAATTGTGCACTTTAGTTAACCATTATGGCATTAACCATTAGATAGGTGATGAACTGATGATTCATCCACCATTTAATGTCAATTACTGCAATTAGGAATGACATTTACCTACCATCAATAACACACAAGTTGCCTGAAGTTGCCACTTGGCTTTGCCATTTGTCACAAACAGTAAGAACTGTAAAACCCTGGTCAGAACTATGATTTGTATGGTTCTATTTCAACATTAAAACTTCAATGCTTTTCTAATTATGCCCGGGGAAGATCTTAGACTTACCTCAAAAGGTATATATAGGTATTTACCATGCCAGATGCCGATAACCCAATTTAAAATATTAGGCAGAATTTTCTTAAAACTGCAGTTAGTAGATATCATCTTGTGAGCCATTATGAAAATTTGTAGCAAAAATTGGTAATTTTTCCTATTTTATAATTAAAATATTTAGAATAGGCCATAAAAACAGATGTGAAATATATCTATCTACCTTTTGAGCCTTGTCTAGAGCTTATCAGCCATTTTTTAGAAGTGAGATTCCTGCTGGATGAAAAACCTAGAATAATTGTTACAAAAGTGCACAATCAGGCAGCAAGATTCCAAATACCCTTGCAAATTTGTCACTATAAAGATGCAAGATTTTATTCATAAGTAGTACATTCCAATCCTGCATAAAAATAGGTGAAATTTTCATGAAATTTTCAAAAAAAAATTCAAATGAAAAATGAAAAGGTGAAAATGTATTTGTTTTGTTCTTTGGTCACTTGAGCCTATCTTTCCAGAATGGTCATGGCTGTTTCCATTGCATTTAAGTTGCTAGCCTTCAATATAACAATTAATTTTATTTTCAAAACTAAATGACAAATTTCTAGCACATCAGAATTTTGGAACGGCTTTGTAGTTATCATATTGTTATTGAAGCTTACAAATAAAAGTTATAAAGAGGATTAAATGGTTTTTATTGACAAGTAATGAGTAACATGTAAGACAACCATGAATGACCAAAACCCTATACTTGTGTTCTATTTCGCCTTCTATTGCCCTTATAGCCTATTTTTAGCCATTTTTTGCCCCTTGACCACTTTTGACCCACTTCTATTGCCGTTATCCTATTTTTGGCCCATTCCTATTGCCTTGACCTATTTTATCACTAAAAACTAAGATACAAATTTTCAGAAATGCATTGGTTATGTCGATGATTAACGATTATCTTAGCATTACATTTCTTCTTCTGAAATCTCAAATTAAACTAAATGTTATTAGTAAAATATGTACCTGAAATTCATTATTGACTTGTTTATTTGATATTTCTTTTCTATTGGTATATTGATTTATTAATATTTATTATAATTATTATTAATAATTAGAGGTATATTGATTTATTAATATTTATTATAATTATTATTAATAATTAGAGGTATATTGATTTATTAATATTTATTATAAATAATAATAATAATATATAATATTTATATATTAATATTGTATTAATAATTATTTATTTATTCATTGCAGAGCATGAACACACAGCCTGGAGAGGCAAGGAGGCCAAGCAGGCTGTATATTTCCTACACATCCTCGTCTCCATCAACACACACACACACACACGGGCATACAAGTGTCTGAATAACACAGATGCAATAGCTTTACATCATCTGTACAAGCATCAAAATTATGTATTAACATCATAAACACAGAAAAAACCTTCATTCAATTCACACAAATACAGTTTTTTCTCAATGATTGTGTTGACGGAAATGAATGTTTCTACACAATTTTAATTTATCCATTGGTGGATAAATCATATACAATTTATCAAATTGGTGGATAAATTATATTCAATTTATCAAATTGGTGGACAAAGCCAATTTGATTTATCAAATTGGTGAACGAAGCCCCTCTCCCATGTAAGTATTGAATGAAATACAATGTAGGTGTAAATTTTGTGTAAAAAATTTGTTTATATCTTTATAAAATATTTTAAAAAATTGTTTTATTTATGTACAGCTTCTTTGTATTAAATTGTTGCATCTTTGACCAGTAGCACTTTAAGTTAAATTACATTTTTTAACTTAGTTTTGATGAAAGTACACCAAATTTGTTGTATTGAATGTTACATTATGTTGTGTGGTGTTTCTTAAATACGTGGAGCTGTGTCACTTATTATTTATTTATGTTATTCATATCATTGTTATGTATGTTTGTCACTTGTTATTATTTATTTATAACTGGTAATGTTTTCTAATAGTAAATGGCAGGCTCCTGTGCATCTTTTATGAATATTCTAAAACATTTTGTTGCTTTATAACATATACAGAATAACAATATTCTATAGCTTAAATGCTATATATTTTCATTAATGCACTTGTTCAAATAATTTTCTCATGTAATCATTTCCTCAAAAAATTTCATTAGAGATCTTGTGTATTATTATGTATTGATACAGATCTTATGTATTGTATGGTGTATTTTGTTCTGGACAGCAATGTATGGGGTGAGATTACTTCCCTTGTTTTGATATATATTATGACACTTATTATTAATGTTATTTATATCACTTATGTGTATATATGTCATTTATTATTATTTGTTTATTTATAAATGGTAATGTTTTCATGATAGTAATTCATTGTTTTAATTTTTTTTTACAGGAAATTTTTGAAGAATTCCTGCTGATCAAAACTCAAAGGCTGTTTTGATCTTCAATTGAAACATTCAGAATTTGAAGAGAATTTTATTGCTTTTATTGTGGCAAATGAAGAAATAATTTCTAGAGAAAAGCTGAAGTTTTTTATGATTTATTTGAAGTGAAGCAAAAATGTAATGGAAGTGAAGAAAATATATAAACACTAAAAATTTTAAACGTCACCTGGAAATTTGTTGCCAAGTTTATTGTGCATGTGGCTTGAACTATAAACTTTTCACCCATTGAAAAATAAATAAAAAAACTGCTGTAGGAACCTGAAGTGAAAGACTTGCACATGATACTACATTTTTCAATACCCGAGACATTGAAAATTTTTTAAATAGAAGTTTGGAAGTTCCTCAAAAAAAGTTTTCCCATGAAAAAAATTTATAAATAGAAGTTCTTTGAAAAAAGTTCTCCCACAAAATGTTTTGAATAGAAATTCATTGAAAAAAAAGTTTACCAAAAAATTTTTTAAATAGAAGTTCCTGAAAAAAAAGTTTTTCCCCCGAAAAAAGCTACTAGAGGAAGTGGAATTTCAAAGTGGCTGCCACTCACTGAACCTTGCATTCTTCTCGTGTACAAACTAGACCATAGAGCTCAGCTGCTTCAGGTACAATGTCCTGCATCTCTAGTGTAGTTATTTGCTTCATTCAAATAACTTTTATTTGCAATTTTATTTGCAAATAACTAAAAATAACATCCTCGGTATCCTTGAGTCCTAGGCAGACATCAGCCGATTAATGTTGTAAATTTGGTCACCTCCAATGTTTGGTTTGCTCTGAAATTATTTTTTAAAAATATCATCTTGAGTAACAACTGTCCCCATAAAAATATCATCTTGAATGATGAAATAGAAATTTGATTTTGAATATGTAAATTCTGAAATTCATTTAAGAAAATCTTCTGCAATTTAATTATAAATTAGATTGAGGAACGTACAAGGCTACATTCTACACGTGTCGATATTGGTTCAACAATGCGAGTACAAATCTAATTTTAGTTGTATGTATTACGTCAGCTGTAAGTGACTCGACAATAACACCATTATTTCTGACATTGTTGAAAGTTTGTGACTCGTGTGATGTGTCAAAATGTAATTATACCTGAATTGTGTCACTGATATAAAAAACTTGAACATTTCATAAAACAAAGTAACCTTTGAGTCATCTGCAAGTTGAAAAAGTTAGCAGTTTATGGAAATTATTTTTTACATGGCAGCTACAGCATTGTTATCTTGTTTTCCTCATTTAAAGCATTGAAGTGAACTAAAATTTGAACTTTTTAGGGTATTAAAGTGAAGACTTAGGGTATAAAAGTGCACGCAATGATCTCAGCCCAAGTATACAAACTTTTACTGCCGACCAATGAACATGTTTCCAACAGCTGTTGTCCTACTCAGGGTGAAGTGTTCAACATCTCCCATTAACCAAGTTGTTGATTAAGTATCAACAATTGTTAATTAGTTATCAAGACAATAACATTGACAGTTGAAAGATTCCCCATCAACCATTGTACAAACAACCCAGGATCTCAGCCGACGGATGACATCTTGAAGTTTATTGGATGTTTCTTTATAATGTTTCATGTAGACATGAAATATTGTATTGTGTAAAAAATCCATTGGATTACGTTAACTTAAAATAATCTGTTTTTATGATAAACATTGTTTATATGATTGCTGGATTTGACATTGAAAAAATTATCAAGTGAAGAGACTGACAAAAATTTAATTTTGAATAGTCGTGTGTCAATGAATGGTCCCGAACTTGATAGTTCCTTTCTATTGATAACTACTCTGCGTTAAAGACTTAACTATGATGCTAAACTATTGATCATAGTTTGCTCAATGATGTTAGTAGCTGTGGTGGTATTAGGTGCGGCAAGATGGTGCTGGTGCAAATGGTAGTGACTGCTGGTAGTGCAGGTAGTGTTTCAACTACCTCTGTGTCATTGGTGGGTGCTTCAAAAGACTCGGTTTCTGCTACACATTTTAGTGCGTCAAAAGACTTTGGTGGGTCAAAGGACGCACTTCCTACACATTTTAGTGGGTCAAAAGAAGCACTTCCTACACATTTTGGTGGGTCAAAAGACGCACTTTCTACACATTTTGGTGGGTCAAAAGACGCACTTCCTACGCATTTTAGTGGGTCAAAAGACGCACTTCCTACGCATTTTAGTGGGTCAAAAGACGCACTTCCTACGCATTTTAGTGGGTCAAAAGACGCACTTCCCACAAATTTTGGTGGGTCAAAAGACGCACTTCCTACACATTTTAGTGGGTCAAAAGACACACTATCCGCACAGTTTGGTGGGGTTCAGTCCACTCAACCACAACAATTATCAGACCAAGCCAAGTTTGGCGAGCCAAGCTTGAGTCAGAACAAGTCGTACATCCAGAGACCTTCATCCACGGGTTATTCTTTGGCTTCTCGGTCAAAGTCATCGTATTCAAACGTGTATAAAAACACACAAACACACAAGACTCAAATTCCTGTGTTAAAAAGCTCCGATGTTCCAAATGTTGTGAAAATAAAACCCAAAAGTTTACCCCTCCGAGAAGATTCAAGATCAACAAAAGGAAACTTAATGAACGCAAACGAAAACAACTTTGTTGGCGGCGACCGACTTTACGGTGGCATTAGTTGTGTTAAAACAGAGCTTGGTGGAGCTAATATACAGTTCTTGAGTGGTAATTTTAGTGATGATGGTAACAGAACTGCTGTGAATGATGGCAGTGATATCAAATCAGTGAGGAACACGGATATTTTCCGGAGCAACATGGCGGAGTTTGGGCGTATGAGTGGAGGACTTGCAGGACGTGTCGACCCGGCGCAGCAGGACATGCTCAGTCTCCAGGAGATTATTGAGGCCTCTGTGAGGTGAGGAATTGAGGATATACTCATAAAGGGTACTCATAATGAGTAATATGAGTAAATATACTCATAATGTACTTATAATGGAAAAATATATATACTCATAATGAGTAATATGAGTAAATATACTCATAATGTACTCATAATGGAAAAATATATACTCATAATGAGTAATACAGGGTGTGTACTGGTCATGGAAAACCTGGAAAGATGTATACGAGTCTGAAACCTGTTATATACAAGTAATTTTCCAGACTTGTATAAGACTTTCCAGGTTTTCCATGACCAGTACGCACCCTGGTAATGGTATATCAATATAATGATGAGTAATTTATTAACATTGAATGTATCATTAACATTAGCTGTATCATTATGTTTATCATTAATCAGCAGTTATGGCAACATTATGATGTAGAGTAACACTAAATTGTGATGATTATGGTATGGAGGGTAAGAGTAACATTATGATGATGATAATTTTGAGAAGTAACAGTAACATTTGATGACAATGATGAACATCATTAAGGTGCATTATCTAACAATTTTCATCACATCCGTGCTTGAACCTCTGATGAAATAAAATTTTCAGTGGCTAGAAAATTGTGTGCCAGTTGACATGTTGCCATTGTTCTCACTGCTCTACATCAATCTTCATTGTTCTCACTGTATTCTCCATTGTTATCACTGTTCTTCATTGCTCTCCATTGTTATCATTGTTGTCCAAAGTCTATTGTTCTCTATCATTCTCCATTGTTCTCCATAATTCTCCATTGTTCTCCATCATTGTCCATTGTTATCCCTGTTCTGTGCAGCTGTAACAGCAGTGCAGCTGTTATTACTGCAGCTGTTATCATTGTTATCCCTGTTGTATGCAGCTGTGAGAGCAGTGCAGCTGTTATCATTGTTCTCCCTGTTCTGTGCAGCTGTGACAGCAGTGCAGCTGTTATCATTGTTCTCCCTGTTCCGTGCAGCTGTGACAGCAGTGCAGCTGTTATCATTGTTATCCCTGTTCTATGCAACTGTTATCATTGTTATTCCTGTTCTGTGCAGCTGTTATCATTGTTATCCCTGTTCTCCACAGCTGTTATCACTGCAGCTGTTATCATTGTTCTCCCTGTTCTGGGCAGCTGTGAGAGCAGTGCAGCTGTTATCATTGTTATCCCTGTTCTCCGCAGTTGAGAGAGCAGTGCAGCTGTTATCATTGTTATCCCTGTTCTCCGCAGCTGTGAGAGCAGTGCAGCTGTTATCATTGTTCTCCCTGTTCTCCGCAGCTGTGAGAGCAGTGCAGCTGTTATCATTGTTCTCCCTGTTCTCCTGTGAGAGCAGTGCAGCTGTTATCATTGTTCTCCCTGTTCTCCTCAGCTGTGAGAGCAGTGCAGCTGTTATCATTGTTCTCCCTGTTCTCCACAGCTGTGAGAGCAGTGCAGCTGTTATCACTGTTATCCCTGTTCTCCTCAGCTGTGAGAGCAGTGCAGTTGTTATCATTGTTATCCTGTTCTGGGCAGCTGTGAGAGCAGTGCAGCTGTTATCATTGTTCTCCCTGTTCTGGGCAGCTGTGAGAGCAGTGCAGTTGTTATCATTGTTATCCTGTTCTGGGCAGCTGTGAGAGCAGTGCAGCTGTTATCATTGTTCTCCCTGTTCTCCACAGCTGTGAGAGCAGTGCAGCTGTTAACCACATCCTAGAGCAGGTGCAGCAGCTGTTATCACTGCAGTTGTTATCATTGTTCTCCCTGTTCTCCTCAGCTGTGAGAGCAGTGCAGCTGTTAACCACATCCTGGAGCAGGTGCAGCAGCTGTTATCACTGCAGTTGTTATCACTGTTCTCCCTGTTCTCCAAATTCTATATTTTATCTAAAAAAAATTCACATATATTATGGTATTGAAGTTAATCCTATATATTTATTTACTTTAGTTCCATGCATTTCAATTTCAATAAAATTTTGTTTATATTTATTTTATATATTTATCCCCTCTTCTCAATTAATTTATTATTGATTATTATTATTTATATTTTTATTATACAAATCATCTTTGTTACAATTAACATTGAATGATTATAAGAATTTTTTTGTTATATTGATATAAAAATTAAATTATATAATGCCTCGTTTTTATTAATTTAATATTTATTATTTCGTAACCATATGGTTTCATATATCAAATCAAATATATATATCAAATCAAATATATATATCAAATAGTATATCAAATCTTCACTATTTATTATTTATATATTCATTAGTATAACATTGTTTAAAAAGTATTTTCATGTTTTTGATTACAAAAATAAGTTAAAAATACAATTGATTAATATTTTAATATATGAAAACTTTTTATCGTATTGATTATCATAAAAATGAATGTATGAAACTAATTATAAAATAATTAAATAATTATTTAATAAGTATTAATTAAAAATACAAAATTTAAATTAACAATACTAATTATTAAATAATAATGCTAATAATAATTAATTAATAATAATATTGCTGCAGGTGCTGAGGCTGCAACCGCTGCAGACTCAGCAGCGCTGGCCCTGCACGACTCACTGAAGCAGTGAGTGATTTTGACCCACTTGTTGTGACCCACTTGTTGTGACCCACTTGTTGTGACCCACTTGACTCTTATTGTGACCCACTTGACTCTTATTGTGACCCGCTTGACTCTTATTGTGACCCACTTATTGTGGCCCACTTGACTCTTATTGTGGCCCACTTGACTCTTATTGTGGCCCACTTGACTCTTATTGTGGCCCACTTGACTCTTATTGTGGCCCACTTGACTCTTATTGTGGCCCACTTGACTCTTATTGTGGCCCACTTGACTCTTATTGTGGCCCACTTGACTCTTATTGTGGCCCACTTGACTCTTATTGTGGCCCACTTGACTCTTATTGTGGCCCACTTGACTCTTATTGTGGCCCACTTGACTCTTATTGTGGCCCACTTGACTCTTATTGTGGCCCACTTGACTCTTATTGTGGCCCACTTGACTCTTATTGTGGCCCACTTGACTCTTATTGTGGCCCACTTGACTCTTATTGTGGCCCACTTGACTCTTATTGTGGCCCACTTGACTCTTATTGTGGCCCACTTGACTCTTATTGTGGCCCACTTGACTCTTATTGTGGCCCACTTGACTCTTATTGTGGCCCACTTGACTCTTATTGTGGCCCACTTGACTCTTATTGTGGCCCACTTGACTCTTATTGTGGCCCACTTGACTCTTATTGTGGCCCACTTGACTCTTATTGTGACCCACTTGACTCTTATTGTGACCCACTTATTTTGGCCCACTTGAGTCTTATTCTGACCCACTTGACTCTTATTGTAACCCACTTATTGTGGCCCACTTGACTCTTATTGTGGCCCACTTGACTCTTATTGTGACCCACTTGACTCCTATTGTGACCCACTTGACTGTTATTGTGACCCACTTGACTCCTATTGTGATCCACTTGACTCTTATTGTTGTGACCCACTTGACTCTTATTGTGACCCTTTTGTAACCCACTTATTGTGACCCACTTGACTGTTATTGTGACCCACTTGACTCTTATTGTGACCCACTTGGCTCTTATTGTGACCCACTTGACTTTTATTGTGGCCCACTTGACACTTATTGTGACCCACTTGACTCTTATTGTGACCCACTTGACTCTTATTGTGACCCACTTGACTCTTATTGTGACCCACTTGACTCATGTTGTGACCCACTTGACTCATGTTGTGGCCCACTTGACTCTTATTGTGACCCACTTGACTCTTATTGTGACCCACTTGACACTTATTGTGACCCACTTGACTCTTATTGTGACCCACTTGACTCATATTGCGACCCACTTGACTCATATTGTGACCCACTTGACTCTTATTGTGACCCACTTATTGTGACCCACTTATTGTGACCCACTTATTGTGATCTAATTATTATGACCCACTTATTTTGATCCACTTATTTTGACCCACTTATTTTGATCCACTTAACTTTCATTGTGACCCACTTATTGTGACCCATTTGTTGTGACCTACTTGTTGTGACCCACTTGTTGTGACCCACTTGTTGTGACCCACTTGTTGTGACCCACTTGTTGTGACCCACTTGTTGTGACCCACTTGTTGTGACCCACTTGTTGTGACCCACTTGTTGTGACCCACTTGTTGTGACCCACTTGTTGTGACCCACTTGTTGTGACCCACTTGTTGTGACCCACTTGTTGTGACCCACTTGTTGTGACCCACTTGTTGTGACCCACTTGTTGTGACCCACTTGTTGTGACCCACTTGTTGTGACCCACTTGTTGTGACCCACTTGTTGTGACCCACTTGTTGTGACCCACTTGTTGTGACCCACTTGTTGTGACCCACTTGTTGTGACCCACTTGTTGTGACCCACTTGTTGTGACCCACTTGTTGTGACCCACTTGTTGTGACCCACTTGTTGTGACCCACTTGTTGTGACCCACTTGTTGTGACCCACTTGTTGTGACCCACTTGTTGTGACCCACTTGTTGTGACCCACTTGTTGTGACCCACTTGTTGTGACCCACTTGTTGTGACCCACTTGTTGTGACCCACTTGTTGTGACCCACTTGTTGTGACCCACTTGTTGTGACCCACTTGTTGTGACCCACTTGTTGTGACCCACTTGTTGTGACCCACTTGTTGTGACCCACTTGTTGTGACCCACTTGTTGTGACCCACTTGTTGTGACCCACTTGTTGTGACCCACTTGTTGTGACCCACTTGTTGTGACCCACTTGTTGTGACCCACTTGTTGTGACCCACTTGTTGTGACCCACTTGTTGTGACCCACTTGTTGTGACCCACTTGTTGTGACCCACTTGTTGTGACCCACTTGTTGTGACCCACTTGTTGTGACCCACTTGTTGTGACCCACTTGTTGTGACCCACTTGTTGTGACCCACTTGTTGTGACCCACTTGTTGTGACCCACTTGTTGTGACCCACTTGTTGTGACCCACTTGTTGTGACCCACTNTGGGGTCTACGATGAGTACACGTGAGTCTGGGGTCTACGATGAGTACACGTGAGTCTGGGGTTTTCTGTAGCCACACTCCCCACTCTCTAATTCTCCGCTCTTCCCCATTTCCCCATTCTTTCCCCACTTTCCATTATTCTCCGTTTCCCCACTGCGGGGAATATATTTCCCCATTATTCCCCACTATTTATATTCCCCCATTAATAAATTATTCATTAATATTTTATATTAATGTATATCTTTTATTCCCCCATAATATATTTCCCCACTTCCCCATCACTCCCTACTCCTCATTCCCTATATTTCCCCACTTCCCCATCACTCCCCATTCCCCCACCAGGCAATTCTGCGCGGGGAACGGGTGGAAGGCGCTGAGCAGCGCAGACTTCGGCAAGGTGATGAAGCAGGTCTTCCCCAACGTGCGGCCCCGCCGTCTGGGGCAGCGTGGGGCCTCCAAGTACTGCTACAGCGGCCTCAGGAAGACCTACAGCCTGCCTTCCCCACACCTCCCCGACCTCTTCCTTGATGAGGGGGGCGGGGGGAAGAAGGTGGGTGATGGGGGGAGATGGGTGGGGAATAGGGGAGCCTTCCCCACACCTCCCCGACCTCTTCCTCGATGAGGGGNTTCCATGGCTATTTCCCATATTATTTCCTTTATTATATCACGGCTATTTCCCATATTATTTCCCTTTATTATTTCCACGGCGTATTTCCCATATTATTTCCCTTTATTATATCACGGCTATTTCCCATATTATTTCCCTTTATTATTTCCATGGCTATTTCCCATATTATTTTCCTTTATTATTTCCATGGCCATTTCCCATATTATTTTCCTTTATTATTTCCACGGCGTATTTCCCATATTATTTCCCTTTATTATATCACGGCTATTTCCCATATTATTTCCTTTATTATATCCACGGGCTATTTCCCATATTATTTTCCTTTATTATTTCCATGGCCATTTCCCATATTATTTTCCTTTATTATTTCCACGGCGTATTTCCCATATTATTTCCCTTTATTATATCACGGCTATTTCCCATATTATTTCCTTTATTATATCCACGGCGTATTTCCCATATTATTTTCCTTTATTATTTCCATGGCCATTTCCCATATTATTTTCCTTTATTATTTCCACGGCGTATTTCCCATATTATTTCCCTTTATTATATCACGGCTATTTCCCATATTATTTCCTTTATTATATCCACGGCGTATTTCCCATATTATTTTCCTTTATTATTTCCATGGCCATTTCCCATATTATTTTCCTTTATTATTTCCACGGCTATTTCCCATATTATTTCCTTTATTATATCACGGCTATTTCCCATATTATTTCCCTTTATTATATCACGGCTATTTCCCATATTATTTTCCTTTATTATTTCCACGGCTATTTCCCATATTATTTTCCTTTATTATTTCCACGGCTATTTCCCATATTATTTCCCTTTATTATTTCCACGGCTATTTCCCCTATTATTTATTTTCTTCATAGCCGTATGTCTCACGGCCGGTCTAACACTAAAATTTATGATGACCGTACTATACGGAATAGCGGTGTTCGTCTTCATAACTAGTCAATGATGTTTCTCCAAACTCGCTGCCGTACTGCTGCTGATGGTGAATATGACCATCACGTGGGTCATCATAAAAATAAAGAAAGTGATGAGAATTGCCGCGCAGTGGGTCTGTACTTGGGTCTCCATGTTTGCCGGTGTTATCGATGATATGATAGCCTGTAGCGGGCAGTTCCGGTATTAGGGCTTGACTCGGCCGTGGGACAATTTCAGAAACCACGAGTTTTCCAACGATTATATGAGATCTATAATGTCCCTTAAACTCGTTTTAATGTCCCTTAATTAAACTCCCCATTATTCCACACTATGGGTAATATATTTCCCCACTATTTCCCCATTACTCCCCACTCCCCATTATTCTCCCCATTACCCGCAGGCAATTCTGCGCGGGGAACGGCTGGAAGGCGCTGAGCAGCGCAGACTTCGGCAAGGTGATGAAGCAAGTCTTCCCCAACGTGCGGCCCCGCCGTCTGGGGCAGCGTGGGGCCTCCAAGTACTGCTACAGCGGCCTCAGGAAGACCTACTCCCTGCCTTCCCCACACCTCCCCGACCTCTTCCTCGATGAGGGGGGCGGGGGGAAGAAGGTGGGTGATGGGGGGAGATGGGTGGGGAATAGGGGAGCCTTCCCCACACCTCCCCGACCTCTTCCTCGATGAGGGGGGCGGGGGGAAGAAGGTGGGTGATGGGGGAGTTGGGTGCGGAATGGGGGAGTGGGGTGGGGAATGGGGGAGTGGGGTGAGGGATGGGGGAGTACGTCCCCCACCCCCACATCCCCACATTTGGGAACGAAAAAGTTGAATTTTTTAACTGTTATTATGTACATAAAATCTATTGTTTACAATCTACATTGTAATATATACATTACAATCTACAATATACATTACGATCCACATTGTAATATAAATTGTTATAATGTACATATAATCTATTGTTCTAATGTACATATATAATTATTACTTTTTATCCTTTGCTATTGTTATAATGTACATAAAAATCTATTGTTATAATGTAATAGTATATAATTTATTGTTTCTTATCATTTGTGTTGCAGGTGTTTTGGAGAACTGGGAGCAACAGCCCCGTGCAGAACAACAACAACAATAACAATAACAATGATAACAACAGTGATAACAATAATTATAACCCATATGAGATGGTAGTGCTGGAGTGGGCTAGAGAAACCCTCTTAAAGAACACAATAACAGATAAAAACAACAGCAATGTTGCATATAACAACAATAATGTAAATAACGTCAAGAAAGAAAACAACGGTACTGAAGTTTGTCGTAAAATACGGTTCGCATCTGATCCCGGTTATACAACCAACAACAACCAGGTTGTTGGTTGTAATAACCAATTAAAAGGTTGTAATAACAACCAAAATTTGGTTAACACTGAAACTTCAACCACCACAACCACGGCAGCTACGGAGTTAGGTTGTGTTACGTCAACCGAGAAAACAAGAAGCGGGTAAGTTTAATTTAAATTAAATTTTATCTTTATTTTAATTTAAATTTTATCTTTATTTTAATTTAAATTTTATGTTTATTTCAATTTAAATTTCAAATTCTTGCATTAGGTCAAATGTTTTTTTACGTCAGCTTTTTTCCTGGCAAAAAATGTAATTCCTGTGAGTCCTGTAAAAAATTTACATTTTAATTTAAATTTAATTTAAAATTCATTCCTTAGATCTAAGTTTGTTATTCTACGTTGGTTTATTTTCTGGCAAAAAATTTAATTCCTGTGAGTCCTATAAAAAATTTGCATTTTAATTTTATTTAAATTTAAAATTCATTACTTAGATCTAAATTTCTTATTTTACGTCAGTTTGTTTCTGGCAAAAAATTTAAGCCCTACACGAGTCCTGTAAAAAATTTACATTTTCATTTTATTTAAATTTGAAATTCATTGCTTAGATCTAAGTTTGTCATGGTTGTCAGGTTGACTACCATGGTTGCGCTGGCCCAGTATTTGGTTGCTAAGAAGCTGGTGGCAACCAACACTGCACACGCTATGGCCGTCGCTACCAACTGTGAGTACTGGAAAAAATTTTAATTTTAAATCTAATCTAATTTAAAATTTAAGTTTTACAAAAATTTATATTTTAAATCTAATTTGAAATTCATTCATTACGTCATTTTTTTCAATGAATGCATCATGAAAGAATGACTGTACGCTAGCAAAGTATAAAAAATTTATATTTTAAGTTTAATTTAATTTAAATTTTCAGTTTAATTTCATTTAAATTTGAAATTCATTAATTAGAAGAAGAATTATTAATTATACGCAAGTTTATTTTTGGCAAAAATTGTAATGCCTGTGAGTCCTGGAAAAAAATTTAAATTTTAGATTTAATTAAATTTAAATTTGAAATGCATTCATTAGATCAAAAATTATTATTTTGCAGAAGTTTATTTTCTGGTGAAAATTTTAATTTGTTCTAAAAAAGCTCTTGTGTTTTGGCCAATGTTTGCCGTTTCCTTCTTTATTTTTTAAATAAAAAGTTAAATATTATTATTAATTTATTAATTAAATGACATTTGATTTTAGTTTGACACAGAGAAGATTTCTGGACTGTCTTTTTTTTTAAACTATAAAGAAAATTTTTTTTATTTATTTATGTACGATATCAGATGAGATAAATCAATGTACATACAGTTCACAATTTTATCCTCCTTTCATTTCTTCCATTCATCCATTCACTGTGCAGAATCTCCTTAATTAGATAATCAATTAATTTATCTCTGTAATAAATACTAAAATTAATAATAAAAGTAAATAAGTTCTGACCATATAACTGCCCGTGCAGCAGCTGGAGACAGTCCGCCCCTGCAGCGCTCCACGGTGCTGCAGCTCCAGAAGAAGATACACGACAGGGACCAGAAGCGCAAGCTCCAGGTGCCTATCTGTTCAATAATAATACTTAATAATGAATAATTATAGTAAATAATAAGTAATAGTCAATAATAACTAATAACAGTCAATAATAGTTATTTATAATTAATAATAGGTAATAATAAATAATAATAGATTTAGGTAGTTAATAATATATAACTGTTAATAATCAATAATAATTATTTATAATTAATAATAGGTACCGGTACTAATAGTTAATAATAATTAATAATAGTTAAGAAGAAATAATAATATGTTAAAAAAAGGTAACAATAATTAGTAATAGTTAATAGATCTGAAATACTGTTTCTTTTGCTCTCTAATTTAGAATAGAAACTTTTGCACTCCCTGTCACCGCCACTGAAGATGTTAAAAAGTACAAGTCTTCGAGGGGTAACTCTATAAAAATATCCTCATCATGGACGAAATATTCTAGATTACTATTTTCAACCCATTATTATTTATTATTTTAAACCCATATATGACTAGTATTACTGTATTAATTGTATCTGTGTTGCTATTTCTGTTGTAAAAATTCTTAATCATTTCTTTTCAGGACACAAGCCCCTGTTTTTCGGCAGCATCAAAGTCCCAACAACAACAAATTTGTGTGAATTCAACCACCAACAACAACAGCGGCAACAACAACAGCAACAACAATGACTTTACACTGACAGGTTTAGACAGACAGAAAACTCGAAGACGAAGCAGCAGCAGCAGCGGCAGTTCATCCGCAAATTCATCCCGCAATCCGTCCGGAGATTCTGCAATTTCCGGGGTATCTTCTTTGTCCTCCTGTTCGTCCGCCTCCGCTGCCGCGGCCACCGGCCAGACCACCAAAACCGAGTGTCCATCGTCCACAATTGCGGACCAAAACCAGTCTGTGACAGGCGTGTCCGCAAAAATGGACGGTTTTTCTTCCCGTCAAAATCTGCTTAGCCAAGCCCTAACAGGTGGTAGCGCTTCTGTCCTACAACAACAGCAGCATAACAACAGTAACAGCAACAGTATTGTTGGATCTGTTATCACAACTGTTTGTAATAATGGACTTAACAGCTGTCATGGTGGTGCAAAATTAGTACAACAGCAACAACAACAACAGCAACAACAGTTACAACAACAACAGCAACAGCCACAACAGCAGCAGCAACAATATATGTACTCTGGTATGAGTAGTAACAATAATAATGTTGGTAGCCTCGCTGGTTGCGTAGTGAATACAAGTGTTGCTGGTAGTGTGGTGGTTAGCAACAATAATAAAGCCTCTACAAGCCACGGTGGATCAGGAACCTGGAACACCACCAGCGAGAACAATAACAATGTGAACTCAAGCCTCGGAAGCAATAACATCGCGAGTATCAACAACAGTTTAGTACTGAAACCTATGGTCATTTCATCATCCCAAACTTCAGTACTCCCAAACACCAACAACAAAACCTACACTCAAACCAGTGGCAGCAAACCCAGCAGCCAAAAAGCTTGCAGTTCACTCAAACAACTCACAACTCGGTACAAGAACATCACCCCAAAACTTGACTCGGTCTCCTTCAAGCCGGGCACTCCAGGAGGTCAGGGGCCATCTACAGCTCCTAGCAGATTAGGCCAATATTCATCAGACTCAACCAAGACCCAGGTACCCTACCTAGAAGATACCGCGAGTAATTCACAGGGATCTAAAAGATCCAGGACAGTTTCCGGTGCTGGAGTACCTCAATGGAAGTTGGAACAAACAAATGTAAATAAAGTCCAGGAAGATTGTTGCGGTAAAAGCTACGAAGGTGATGTCAAAGCTGCCCCTCTGTACACTACAGACGGGAACGTTGCCCCTGCGGATGAAGATGAGGATGTTCCTAATGAAGTGACGCTCCATGAACTCCGCACGGTGCTTAAACCGATCATTGGAGGAGCCGTGGGCCCTCCTGTGGGAGCCACGTATCTTGCTCAGAACTCAGAACCCTGCAGGGTTCAGCGCAGAGCGTGTGAGTTCGCGCCCATAGGTTCTGGGGTCGTCCCCTGTAAAGGGACTAACAATAGCACTGCGTGTACAAGCGCTAACGCTTCCCCATTCACGTCCCCGCAAATGACACCGATCTTGTCACGGTCCCGGCACAACTCGGGACAATCCTCGACGTATTTGACGCCACGTTCAACCCCGTTCAACCACGAGGACAACCTACATTTGGGGGCATCCGTCAACTCAACTCCATTTGTTTCGCCTCTCACAACCCCGTATGCTAGGTCCCGCCACAGCTCGTCCCAGAACCACCGATTCCTGGGACACCAAATTGGTCAATTGAACCCAGGGACCACAATCGGAGGCCCAGCACCTTCATGCTCCGGGTCCCGCTCCCGACATTCGTCTGGGGCGCGCCGGTATCCTTACAACGTCCCTGAAGACCATCTGCATCACTACGCTCCTCCTAGCTATCAAAATAGGATACAACAACGACGTCTCAGGAACTCCTCGGGGGGGACCATTATTCCTGCATCCCCTCAGTCTGCCCCACTGTCTCCTCTCATTGATGGACAGGAGTTCTATTCCTCAGGGGGAATGGGGCCTTTGATGGAAGGGCATCAAGGGGACTATCGCCGCCGACATACCTCCGCGGGGCCTTTGATCCCCAATTACGGTCCACCTTCAGTCCCCCTGAACCAAAACCAACGGTTCACGGTTCTCTCGAACCAGCAGCACAACCTATCCAGTTTCCCCACTTCTCGCCCCAGCGTTCCCCACCTCCAGCTCAACCCTGTCATGGAAGTCCCTCTTGGTGACCAGCCCCAGAACCTTAACCGCCCACAGTCGGTCCCACTACCTGATATATTAACCAACCAACCATACTCCTTGTCGGTACCAAGCACGCCTTTGCTCCACCACAACCAGTATCAGGGAAGCAACCACAAACACCTGTGTGGTGGAGACTCCAACTCCAACAACGCTAACCTCCTTGGAGTCCAACGCACCGGACACTTCAACTTCGACACAAGTCTGCCTCCTTCCTGTGCACCAACTCCTGTCCCATCGGAGTTCGCTGATTTTGTTCCAGATCCTTGCCTTGATTTCAGTTATCCTATGCCTGATATGGAATCCTTCAGTGGGGTCCTTGAGAACTTCGAACCAATGTCGGAAAGCAGCCCCCCTTCAGATAATCCTTTCTCGGAATTCAACTCTCGACAAAGTTGTTCACAAAATTTACCATATTCATCTTGCTTCAAGGATAAAAATACGGTTAGTGGTGCGGTTTCTTCGTTTGATCAAATGAATGTTTCATTTACCAACAACCAAGCCTATCACCAATCAAGTGGTGGTGATGGTGGTGTCTCAAACACCACAACCACCACCACAACCTACCACCACCAACACCAGAATTACGATAACGAAAACGCGTCGAACCCTTTCATCTCCGCCACCCACTACCCCAACTTCAACTCCAGCGCCGACAACAACAACACCATGGAGCCCTGCAGCTCCACTGCCTCCACCAGCAGCAACATGCCCCAGTTCCCCAATAGAACCCCTCCAGGAGAGGTTTTCTCACCCCCCGGGGTTCAGATGTCATCCACAGAAATAACCCTAAACGCCCTCAACACAGACCCCTCAGGGGTTGGCTATTGTCAGTCTGTAATGTCAGACCTTGTAGACCATGATGCAGGTTTTGGGAGTCTGGATGAGGTGTTCCAGCCCAGCCTGGGTCTAGAATCAGACCAAGAGCTCACCGGTCTAGTGCTAGACTCTAACTGAAGGTCTAGAGCGAACAGTTCGTGGTAGAAACTGTGTATGTATGAAAATAAGGAGTTAAGGTCTGAACTAAGGAGTTTGGGTCTGAACTAAGGGTATAAAAGCTGGTCTATGAGGTTAAAACGGTCTAAAAATGGTCTTTAAGGGTCTGAATATGAGCGAGGCTGCTTCTTAGTGGTCTAAGATGTAAAGTGTGTCATGACAAGGCGTAAAGTGTGTCATGACAAGGCGTAAAGTGTGTCATGACAAGGCGTAAAGTGTGTCATGACAAGGCGTAAAGTGTGTCATGACAAGGCGTAAAGTGTGTCATGACAAGGC